ACAAAATCGCCAAGTTGTAGGTGGTTGACGATTTGTGGGATCTACGAGGTGGGGGATAAAGGGGTTTTGGTGTGGTGGGTTTGGGGGATCAGATGGTGGTGGTAGGGGACCTAAAACGGCAGTTGCAAAGGGGTTTATTTTGAGATGGGGTTTTGAGATGTGGAAGGAAAAAGAAGAAGATGGGAGGAGGAGGCTGAGATGAGGAAGAAATGGGAAGATAAGAGAAAAAGAGAAGAAAATGTTAGTTTTACCTTTCCCCTATTAAAATATTGGGAATGGAGTTAGTTTAAGGGTGTAAATTGAATTAAATGAAATTGAAGGTATCAACTTGAGATTTCGCTAAACCTCGGGTGGAAATATATTGTTTACTCTTAAAATTGAGGGAAGATGATTTTATTTTCCCTTCATTAATTCTTAACATATTCAACAACTGTTTACTTCGGTCATTCAAAGATCTCTCCATTTTTTTTTTATTAAAACCCTTTAATCATTTAATAGATTTTTAGATTGAGGAAGTACTTTAATTTCACATCTGTGTCAAGTCGGTGAATATTTTAGTCGGTCATGTGAGCACATCGATTAGGCATGTGAATGTGGTAGGAAAAGTAAAATCACCCAATTTTATGATTAATTTATAGTATAATACTACACATACAACATTTCTCATACAATATAATATGGTAAAAGATGATTGGTTGATTTTAAATTAAAAATAAACTTTCACCCAATCATCTTTTGCCACATCATGTTGTAAGAAAAATATTGTATGAAAATGTTATATATGTAGTATTACTCTAATCTATACTACCTGAAGGCTTAAGAATATATTTAATAGATTTCATGTTGATTAGCTCAACTAATTAATGAATTCAATAAAAAGACATTATTAGGTTGGACATGATCAATATTATTGGTTTTCAAAATGTAAGATGCCACCCACATTGGTATGTAATAGGAGATACAGGAGACTAAGGGAGAAATGTACATATTTTATTCACGGCAAAAACAAAAAATTCTACAAATGGGGAAATCAAATTAGGAGAAGAGAACCTTAAGGGGTTGGCCTCGTGATCAAGGAGATTTTTTCTCTTCATTGAGTTCTTGTATTCAAACCTTGGGACCACCTACCACTTTATGACTTACTTGGTCTTTTGGGCTTGTAGGATGTTTAATCGACATCGGAGATTAATTAAAGTGTGCGCAAACTGACTTCGACACCCCGGTTATCAAAAAAATAAAAAAATAAAAAAAATAAAATTAGGAGAGGAGTCATATTTACTTTAGTCCTTGTCTTTGGTTATTTATCAAATTTTTTATCTTTATTACACAGACGAGTTGAAATTTAGTTATTTGGGTGATTTTCATTTTGATCCAAATACAATTACAAAATAAAAAAAAAAAAAAATGAAATGAAATGAAAATTTTGAAAAAATCTAAATAGGATTACGAAAAATTGAAATAAAATTGAAAAAATGAGGAAATATTCAAATAAAATTGAAAATGAAACGAAAATATTGAAATAAATAAATAAAAATTTGAAAAATTGGAACAAAATACTAAAATAAATTTGAAAAATGTATTTTCGCCGTTGCCGGGGATCGAACCCGGGTCACCCGCGTGACAGGCGGGAATACTCACCACTATACTACAACGACTAGTTGTTTAAAGTATTTAAAAACTCAATATTTTAATCAATTGCTTTTACACTCCAATATTTTCCCCATTCGCAGAGCTCCAAGTCCAATTCATCTCCTTCAGCTTTGTCCACCATGCTGTAACCACGAATTTGCTTCCATACTCATAATTCAATTGCATTGCCAAACCCAAACCTTGAAACAAAGGCCAACAATCAGAACTAGCCAACAAAAGTTAGTAGAGTTTCAAGTTCCAACAATATCTTTGAACATCAATGGAGGAGCCTCTTCTTCACGTCCTTGGTGGAAATACGATGTTTTCTTAGTTTCAGAGGAGAAGACACTTGCAAGAACTTCACTGATCATTAAGGCGGAGCTTTGGACCAAAGGGGTATAATTATTTTTTAGAGATGATGACAAGCTTGAGAGGGGCAAACCCATTTGTCCAGCGCTCCTTAAAGCCATTAAAGAATCAAGATTTGCTGTTATTGTTTTTTCCACTAACTATGCCACGTCGTCCTGGTGCTTGAACGAACTTGTGAAGATTGTTGAGTGCATGAAAAGATGGGACAAATTGTTGTCCGAGTTTTCTGTGAAAGCTTTAGGGAGACCTTTCATAAACATGAAGAAGCTAATTTTGGAAATGAGAAATTGCAGAAATGGAGAGATGCTTTGACTGATGTGGGTTATTTATCTGGTTGGCATTTGAAGGGATAGGTATTTTTTCCTTGCTTTATAGAAATATTGTTAATTTCTTTTATAGGATTTTTAAGGGTAATTTGATTAATTTAGCAAAGCATATTATTTGTGTTAGATTTCAATATTCCTGTTTGTATTGCTTAGCTTGTGGGTCCTGAACAATATGATTAGAATAAACAAGTTCTAACACATTTCCCCCTAAATTTGTCTCAAGTTAATAAAGTTTTCAATCTTTATTCAACCTCTAGTTATGAATCGAAGTCATTTCATCATGTTTGAATTTGGCACAAATCATGATTTGAATTTGTGGATTTTGGATTAAAATTTATATTTATGGGTTGATCCAGGGTCTTTAAGACATTCTCTTCTTAAACTGCTAGCCTGTCTTATTGAAATCATAGATTCAAGACTGATATAATTAGACTTCTGTGTGTATATGCATGAATGGGAGTGTATTATTAGATGCATTATAGTACTACTTATTCTAACATTAACCTTGTGGATTCAGAATTATTGCCGAATATGAAATATAAATTATAAAATGGTTGTCATTTTTCTACATTATTTGCAGTCATGTGGTAACATTTATCCAAGAGATTGTTGAAGAAATACGAAATAAGTTCAACGTTCTTCTTCCCAAAGGTCCTGAATTTCTTCCCAATGAATTACAGATTCTTAAATGGCATGTATACCCACTAAATTCTTTGACATTGAGTTAAAAAGCCGAGAAAATTGTTGAACTTGATATGTCACATAGTGGCACTGAACTACTTTGGAAGGATATAGTAGTATGATTATTTCCTACAGAACATTATTTCATTGAAAATATTTTGAGTTTCAAGGATGATGTCCTTTCCTTTCTGTTTTCTATGCCTCAGAAAACATTTAGATAATTTGAGAATCTTCATAATGAGTCACTCACAAATGCTGACCAGAACTCCAGATATCAGAGGAGTTCCAAATCTTGAGAGGCTTATTCATGGAGGTTGTACGAATTTATATTAGCTTCATCCTTCTATTGGTGATCTCAAAAGGCTGAGTGTATTATATCTGAAAGACTGCAGAAACCTGCAGATTCTTCCAAGAATAATCTCTGGATGGAGATCCCTTTAAAGTTCTTTTGCTCATTAGCTGCTCAAAAATTGTCTAATTGCCAGAGAATTTGGGGGATTTCAAATGTTTGGAGGAGCTTAATGCTGGTAAAACTGCCTTAACAAAGGCACCTTCATCCATAACTCTAAAAAGTCCAACTCTAACCACCCAATAATGTCTCTCTCACCGTTTACTACAATCCTCCATCCATGAAAGTTCCCTTCATATTCATCATTCAAATGCAATGCCAAACCCTGAAACTAAACACAACACTCGGAACAAGCTAGCCTAAGTTTAGTAGAGTTTTCAACTTTCAACAATGGCTTTGAACTACAATGGAGGAGCCTCTTCGTCTTCTTCTTCATGTCCTTGGTGGAAATACAATGTTTTTGTTAGTTTTAGAGGAGAAGACACTTGAAAGAACTTCATTGATCATTTATGTAGAGCTTTGGACCAAAAGGGTATGATCGTTTTTAGAGATGATGACAAGCTTGAGAGAGGCAAACCCATTTCGCCAGAGCTCGTTAAAGCCATTGAAGAATCAAGATTTTCCGTTGTTGTTTTTTCAAGAACTATGCGACGTCGTCCTGGTGCTTGGAAGAACTTGTGAAGATTGTTGAGTGCATGAAAGAGATGGGTGAAACTGTTGTCCTGGTATGGGGAGCTTTGGGGAGGCCTTTCATAAACATGAAGAAGCTAATTTTGGAGCTGAGAAGTTGCAGAAATGGAGAGATGCTTTGACTGATGTGGCTAATTTATCTGGTTGGCATTTGCAGGACAGGTATTTTTTTTCTTCTTGCTCTACAGATTGTTAATTTCTTTAAGGAATTTATATGGGTGATTTGATTAATTTAGCAACAGCAGATTTTGTATGATAGATTTCAATGTTCTTGTTGGTATAGCTTAAGCATGTGGTTACAAAACAATGTGAATATCCCATAAACAAGTTCTCACTCAATTCCCCCTAAATTAACCTCTAGTTGTAAATCCAGGGCATTTCATCATGTTTAGCACAAATCTTGATTTAAATTTGTTGATTATGGATGAAAAATCTGTATTTATCGGTTTATCCAGTGTCTTTAAAACATTCTCCTCCAAAATTGCAAGGCAATAAAATCATAGATTCAAGATCTAGGAAATCAGCACACGGTTGTGAATAATGCATTACAACTCATTTGAGTATTACTTATATAAGTAGACATTTGCATGTACACGCAGGTATGCAGGTGTATTACTGGAGAATATGCATATGCAATGCATTATATTACTTCTTGTACTAATATTAAACTTATAAATTCAGAATTACTGTAGAATATGAAATATAAATTATAAAAGGGTGGTCATCTTTCTATATTCTTTGCAGGCATGAGGCAACATTTATCCAAAAGATTGTTGAAGAAATATGGACTAAGTTGAGGCTCTCATTCTCATATGTTGCTAAGGGCTTGGTTGGAATAGATTCACATTTGCAAGAAATCAATTGTTGTTTAGGTATGGGGTTGGATGATAATTTTCGCATTATAGGGATTTCTAGGATTGGGGGCATTGGTAAAACAGCTATTGCTAGGGTCGTTTATGACTGCTTTTCCTATAAATTTGAAGGTAGCAGCTTTGTTGCAAATATCAGAGAGATTTCTGAAAAATTTGGTTCATCTGCTTTACGAGAGCAACTTCTTTCTCAAACTCTTAAGGGAAAAGAATATTAACCCACTGGACATTCATCGAGGAATCTATCGCAGGCTGCAGCATAAAAGAGTTCTTATCGTTCTTGATGATGTAAATGAATTAGAACAATTAGAAACATTAGCAGGTGATCGTGAATGGTTTGGTCCTGGAAGTAGAATCATTATAACCACTAGAGATGAACATCTGCTAATTGCTCATTTTGTAAAAATAAAAATATACAGGGCCAAGGATTTAGTTTCCAAGGAAGCTCTTCAACTTTTTAGTTTGAAAGCCTTTAAGCAAAACCATCTGAAAAATATATAGAGCTGTCTAGGAGCATTGTAAGCTATTCTAACGGTCTTCCATTAGCTCTTGTAGTTTTGGGTTCTTATGTCTGTGGTAGAAGTGTAAATGAGTGGAGAAGCGCACTCAAAAAGCTTAAAGAAATTCTTGACAGGAAAGTTTTTGATGTACTCAAAATAAGTTATGATGGTCTGGAGGAAACAGTAAAGAACATTTTCCTAGATATTGCATGTTTCTTTCATTTGAGGAAAGTAACCCTAGTGACTGAAATACTAGAGGCTTGTGGTTTTTACCCAGAAACTGGAGTTTGAGTTCTGGCTGATAAATCTCTCATATCAATTGACAATGTCAATGATAAGTTATATGTCCACAGTTTGCTAAAAGAAATGGCTCAGGCTATTGTTCACCAAGAATCTCCCAAAATCCTAGCAGACGCAGTAGGTTATGGCTTTACAATGATATCCATCATGTACTTGAAAGGAAAAAGGTAACTGACCATAAAACTGTATTGGTTATATGTAATGCTTGTATCATTTCAAAAATTTAACTTGTGCTTTATTTATCTTTTCCTTGTTCTTGGTGAATTTATAGGGAACAGAAGAAGTTGAGGTCATATACCGAAATTCATCTGAATCAAAAGAGATATCTGTGGACGCTGATGCATTTGTGGGGATGAATAATCTGAGACTGCTTAAAATCAGTGACGATCTTCTTCCCAAAGGGCTTGAATTTCTTCCCAATGATCTACGGATACTTAAATGGCATGGATACCCTCTAAAATCATTGACATCAAGTTTCAAAGCAGAGAAACTTGTTGAACTTGATATGTCACATAGTAGCATTGAACTAATTTGGAAGGATATTGTGGTATGATTATTTCCTTCAGACCTTTATTTCATTGAATATGGTTTGAGTTTCAAAGACGATGTTCTAATCCTTTCTGTTTTTTATATCTCTGACAGAATTTAGATAAACTGAAAATCTTCAAACTCAGGCATTGAAAAAAGCTGACCAGAACTCCAGATTTCGGAAAAGTTCCAAATCTTGAGAGGCTTATTCTTGAAGGTTGCACAAATTTATATGAGCTTCATCCTTCTATCGGTGACCTCGAAAGGCTTCGTGTGTTAAATCTGAAAGACTGCAGAAACCTGCAGAGTCTACCAAGAGTAATCACTGGATGGAGATCTCTTAAAGTTCTTTTGCTCCTTGGTTGCTCAAAAATTGACAAATTGCCAGAGAACTTGGAGGGTTTTGAATGTTTGGTAAAACTTCCATAACAGAGGCTCCTTCATCCATTGTAAATTTAAAGAACCTTAAAATGCTCTCATTTAAGGGATGCAAGGGACAAATGTGCACACTTGGAGCTGGTTCGGGTGCCTGTTTCCAGCAATAGGCCCAAGTTCCATGAGTTTTTCTTTACCTTTCCTGGTAGGTTTATTGTCTTTGACCGAACTTGATTTAAGTTAGTGTAATCTCTCTGAAGATACCATCCCAAGTGATCTTGGCCACTTATGTGCTTTGAGAAAATTAAATCTAAGCGGGAGTGATTTTGTTAGCTTACCTACAGGCATCAATCAACTTTATAAGCTGCAAACTCTGATATTGGCAGATTTCCAGAATCTTCAAGCTCTGGTGGAACTTCCGTCAAGCATAGAAAATCTAAGCACATATAACTGCCCATCATTGGAAAACTTGGGTGGCCCCTTGAGATTAAGTATGTCAAAATTTCGGGAATTCTACCTTCAAAATTGTTTCAGATTACTCGAGAATCAAGGTGGCGACAATGTGGCAATTTCATTGATAAAAAATCATCTTTTCTTGATAGCAAATATCAGGATTTTAATGGTCGCATCAATGTTGCTCAACTTCTTTGAGAACCAAGAAAGCAACAATCCACCCAATGCAATTATAGTCAGTTGGATCCGCTCAATGTGAAGTATCCTATATCAGGCATCTTTCATCCCTCTTTCTTTCAGTCAATCAATTTTTCTCATTTTTAACACCATGATTTTAATGATACAGGAACTTTCTGATATCCCTTCTGTCATGCCGAGACTAGTTGTTTTTCTACCTGCAAATGGAATTCCAGATTGGTTCAGATTTCAGACTACAAGCACTTCAATAGCCATTCACTTACCTCCAAATTGGTACAATGATTATACATTCTTAGGATTGGCTATCTGTGCTACTTTAGAAGTCCAAGAGAATCATGGACAGGAACAAAGAAAAGATGTCCAATGGCTTCCACCAGTTTTGCAGTATTTTTCAAGTCCTTCAGGATGCGATTACAAGCGTAAGTTTTATTTGTTTTCTGCCGAGAGAAATTGCTTAATTTCGGGTAAAGAGTCTCTCTTGAGTGGAGACCGATTGGCTCTATCAAATCATCTATGGCTTTTCTTTATACCATTCGACGAATAATTCCAAAAGAGGAAATGGAGTCACGTTGAGGCTTACTTTAGACTTGAGGGTTCAGGTCTTGAGTTTAACAAGTGTGGGGTTCGCCCCGTATACTTAAAAGATGTAGATTTCGTTCCATCAGTGTTCCAAGGCCTCAATGGCCCTCAGTTGGAAGACTTTACCATCCTACTTAACCATTTTGTACAAACAGCAGCTGGTGGAAGTGGAAGTAACTCTTTTGATGAGGAAGTAGGTGGTACTGAAATTAAAGAATATTCAGTTGATTCCATAATTGAACTCAAGAAGTAAGACAGCCAAGAATAAAATGCCAGCGCCAAATCTTTTTCCGGTTTGATTGTTTCGACTTTAGACATAGTTGATAGATCATCCAATGAGGCACCTTTTTAGTCCTGTGAGCAAGTCAAGGATCTGTTGTAAATCTATTCACTACCACAACTGCAAAATACACAATAAGACCACTGTAATATTTCCAGGAGACTTTCGTTTCTTACATCAGGTTATTCATTTTTATACTCAAAATAATCGCAGCAGTTTTAATCTTCGGGGCTTGATTGTTCTTTTTTCTAGTGGATTTTATTTTAATAACAGCAATAACATTTTCCAAGTTTCCTTAATGGTTGTAAAAGTTCATGCAATGCCAGGGCTAAACAATGTTCAATGTTCTTTATCTTAAGCTACGCCCATTAGTGATCTCATGGTTCTATTGAGACTGAACTTACTACATTAAACTGATACTAAGAGAATGAAATTTTACTTTTATTATGAATTTTTCATTTGTATGATTTCAAGTACAATATGAATATCTGAAATCTCTGATACTGTGTAGGTAAACTGATACTCTACTATGTCTTTGTGGCCACGCTGAGCTGCAATGTGAGTTGGTAGCATCCCTTTATCATTTCCTCGAATACTATGTAACTCATCATTCTTCTTCAACCTTGCCCTGACTGCTTCCACCCTTTCGGATGCAGCAGCAAGAGCAAAAGAAGTATCCCCATCAAAATTTTTACTAGCCATTTGTTCTCTCGCCATATATTTTACCAGTTTCTGACAAACATAGAGGAACTTGCCGCAGCTGCAATGTGGAGAGCGGCGTCGTTGTTGTCTGATATCTAACTGTTAAATACATTCAAATTTTTTACAGAGTAATCTTAATAAATAGATATCGATCTTAGCTGCTATATTCAATAAAAACTGCACGCCAAAAGAAGAACAAAGAAAGAAAGAAACGGATTGAAAGAGTTACCTCTTTTGGTAGAGAGCATTCCTCCACCTCCTGGCCTCTTCTCCTCTGCCTTCTCACTGATTTTTGGAAATTGTGGGAAAGCTTCCTTAAGGGGATATTTGAGAGTACAGATTTAGAGAAAATTTGAAGGCATTAAATAGGTAAGATATCAGACAAGGACGACACCGCCCTCCACATTGCAGTTACGGCAGGTTACTTTCTCTATGTTTATCAGAAAATTTTGATGGGGATATTGCTTTTGTTGATGCTGCTGCATCCGGAAAGGTGGAAGCTGCCAAGGTGATGTTGAAGAAGAATGAAGAATTACCAAGTATTCGCGGAAACAATAAGATGTTACCAATTCACAAAGCAGCTAAGCATGGCCACAAAAGACCTGGTTAGGGGTTAAAGAGAGTGAGGGGTATGTTCCATAAACCAATGAATAAAGGGGATAACGCTCTGAAAGACTGAATCAACGTAGTCTCTTTTAAAGGAGTAAAGAGGTGAAGAAGATTTTGTAGTTCGCAGTGAGAAAGTTTATTTTATTGCTGGTATTGGTCTTGATATGAAGATTCGTTTTGTAAAATATTAAAGCAAAAGCTGTGTAGATTAAATTTATTGGTCCCTTCAATTCCCAAAGAAACATCTTTCTTTTTTATATTCGTTTTGTAAAATATTAAAATGAAGGAGGGAAGATGATTTTCTCCATTTTTTTATTAAAACCCTTTAATCTTTTATATATTCGTAGTATGTGTCAAGTCGGTGAATATTTTAGTCGGTGATGTGATTGTGAGCACATAGATTAGGCATGTGGATGTGGTGGGAACTAGGAATATTGACCCAATTTTATGATTAATCTATACAACATGAAAGGCTTAAGAATATATTTAATAGTTAATGAATTCAATAAAAAATGAAAAGACATTATTAGGTTGGACATGATCACTATTATTGGTTTTAAAAATGTAGAAAGCCACGTTGAGTAATGCTACGCTAATAACACGTTCTTACAAACCTCTCTCACAATCTTAATGTGATAATTGAGTTGACACTGTCACGTTAGTTCCATCAAACCTAAGATGCAAAATGATTTTGACTAGACTAAAGAAATGATCGTTCCTTCATAGGGAATGGCCAAGGTTGTTTCAAGAAGAAGAAGAAGAAGAAGAAGGTAAGGAACAAGGTTGTTCCTTAAGGAACAATAATTCCTCCTTCATAAGAGACAGTCGTTCCTTAAGGTCTTCCTTCATAGAGAACGATCGTTCCTTCTGAAGGAACAACCGTTTATTTCTTGTAATGCCTTGGTGCCTTGGGTGTGGTGAAAATTGATATGACAGTGTTAATCCATTGACACGTTAGGGTTGTGAGATTATGTTATAAACGTAACATTTTTCATAAGACTAAAGGAGAAATGTACATATTTTATTTAAGGTATATTACGGAGAATTACAGATTAAATAATTTTATGCAAAAACAAAATATTCTACAAATGGGGACTCATATTTACGTTACTCTCATATTCACTTTACTCCTTGTCTTTGCTTATTTATCAAATTTTTTATCTTTATTACGTAGATGAGTTGAAATTTAGATATTTGGGTAATTTCCATTTTGATCCAAATACGATTACAAAATGTTAAAAAAAATGAAATGAAAATATTGAAAATA